ATTTCGCGAGGGTCCCGGGAGCCCCTCTGTGGCCGCCTCTGTCCCCCGGAGGCGCCCCCCAGGCCCTGGCGTCCCTCCCCGCGGTGGCTCCGGGGACAGGACCGCGCCCTCCACGGAGCCGCCACGTGGCCACGGGGGCTTCCAGGGGGCGGCGGCCCCGCGGGGGCTCGGGCGGGACTTGGGGCCTCCCATCCTCGCTCTTTTTAACGTTTGTCAGATAAGACGACGCGGAATGAAAAGCGCGCTTGGAACGGGGGCTGGGAAGACCCCCGCGAGGGAAGAAGCGAGCGCGCCCCCCGCCCCCGCCTCGGGCCCCCGGGAAGGCGGCGCAGCCACGGGGGAGTCTCGGCGCCAGGCGGCTCCGTTCCGCGTCTCTGCCCCGCGTTTCTGAGGCTCGAAGCTGCGGGGGAGCTGGGGGGACTTATGAACACGCCGAGCCGAGCCTCGCGGCGTCCGAGGGACCCCAGCCGGGGACAGGGGGCTGCGCGGGGCTGGGGGGTCCGAGGCCGCGCGTTCCCGGAGCGCCAGGCGGGGGTTCGGGCTGGGGAGGGACGGGGACCCCCGGGCAGCGGCGAAACCTCTTCCTGGAGAAGAAGCTGGAGCGCGGGGCGGGGTCAGGCGGGTCTCACCGTCTCCATCCCGCTGTCCGCGCGTCTCCCCCGCACCTGGAGGGCGCGTCTCCCACCGCGGGCGGGGCGGGCTGGACGCGGGGCCGTGGGGGGAAGATGCAGGATCAGCAGCAGCGCGAACCCACAGCCCTGCAGGGTCCCGGCGCCGGGGCACGGATGCGTTTCGCACAGGAGGAGGCTCCGGAGTAAGCGCCGGGAGCGCGGGGAGCCCGGGCCGTCCCGCGACACCTGCGGGCCTGGGGTGAGCCCAGCGCCCCCCTCGCCCCCCGCTCGCCCCCAGCCCTCGCCAGGCGCCCGCGCGGCGGGAACTCAGGAACGCGCCGCCGTCCCGCTGCTTCTCAGGCTGCGCCAGGGACGCTTTGTCTTCGCGTCTGAATGACGGATTTGCAGCGGCTCTGGAGCGAGTGGGGCCGGCCTTAGGACCGTTTCCCGGACGGACGCGCCTCCAGGGGAGAAGTGAGGCGGGCACGGGGCGGTACTGGGGGCTCAGGGCCAAGGACGGGGGAGCAAGTGGCCTCTAGGGAATGGGGGGCGGTGAGCAGCGCGGAGAGGGGGGTGCACGCGGGTGGGAGAGGGCGGGGGAGGTGGGAGGTGGGAGGTGGGGGGAGGTGGGAGGTGGGGGAGGTGGGAGGTGGGGGAGGTGGGAGGTGGGGGAGGTGGGAGGTGGGGGAGGTGGGAGGTGGGGGAGGTGGGAGGAGGGAGAGGGCGGGGGAGGTGGGAGGAGGGAGAGGGCGGGGGAGGTGGGAGGAGGGAGAGGGCGGGGGAGGTGGGAGGAGGTAGGAGGGAGGTGGGAGGAGGGAAAGGGCTGAGGAGGTGGGAGGAGAGCAGGGGAGAATCCAGAGATGGGAGCCGACACCCACAAGCCCCAGGCCCCTGGCCCAGCGTCACCCCAGGCGTCCATTCATTCGTCCACGGCCAGGAGAGACACACAACATCGCCTGGGGCCACCTGCCCGAAGGTGCCTGGGAACTCCCACGAAAACACAGAAACCTGCGCTTCGTTACGCAGGAGTTTTGTTCCTGAAGATGGCATTGTTTGCAACCTCCCTCCCCACCCCACTCCCTTCTCCGGGAACATGGATTTCTGGATTTCTGAATCTCTGAATTCGCCACCACCACGAAAAATCACACCCGCTGCTTTGCAAGAGCTGCTATTTATAGGAGCGCTGGGTTTCAGTGGATTCCCTCCAGAGTTGCAAAGTCATTCTCTAATGCAGCTGTTTTATCGGGCACCGCCCCCTGTCCTGGGCATCTGGTCTTTTTATATGCCTTTCAGGGCACCAATAATATGCTATTGGGGGCTGGAAGAGAGAATTTTGGGCTCCAATTTGGCTTCATCATGCAGAATCGACCTTCGTTTTAGGAACTCATCCAGCCATCCACTCACTGTGTGAACTCAGCAAGTTACTCAACCCCCAGCCTCAGCTTCCCCATTTGTAACATGGGGCTGAGCAGCTCTCATGACGAGTCCGGGGAATTGTGAAGTCCCCGGTGCATGAATGTCACCGCGAAAGTCGACTGTATGATCACCAGTCACGCAGCAACACTTGTGTGCAGCTGCGTGGGGGCCCCGGGCCCACCAGACTCAGAGGTGACCAGTCTCAGTGCTGGTGAGAAGGGCTATGACAGGCCCTGCAGGGCACTGGCCCTGACCCCACATCTCAGGCAGCAGTTAAAGCTGCCGAGGAGTGTGAAAAAAGCCATAACCCAGCAGCTACCCAGGGCTGGGTTTTGATGGGATGAATAGGAGTTTTCTAGGCAGAAAGTAGGGGAGAGGGACTCGTATGCAGTGGAGTCAGGAGTCATTCTTGGGGACAGGGGGAGTGCAGTCGTCACTAGGAAGAGACAGGTGCCTCACACCACATAGAACAATTAGTTCAAAGCGAGTTAAAGACCTAGACGTAGGAATTCAAACTGTAAATCACTGAGAAGACATAGGGGTGAATCTTTGTGACCTTGGTTTTCTTAGATATGATCCAAAAAGCACAGAAACAAAAGAAAAAGATAAACTGAATTCCTTAACATCAAAAAAATTCGTGCTTCAAAGGACATCATCAAGAAAACCAAAAAACAATCTGCAAAATGGGAGAAAATATTTGCAAATCACTTGTCTATAAGAGACTTGTATCTGGTGTATATAAAGGGGGTCACATGACACAAAGAACAATTACAACTTGACAATGAAAGGACAGCTCAGTTAAAAAATGGCAAAGCATGTGAATACACATTTTTCCAAGAAGATGCACAGATGACAGATCAACACAAAAACATGCTGCACATCACTAGCCTTCAGGGAAATGCACCCACTAGGGTGGCTACAATCTCTGTTAATAATTTTGTTTAAACTGGAAAACAGCAAGTGTTGTTGGGGACTGGAGAAATTGGAAGCTTCATTCATCACTGGAGGGAATGTAAAATGGTGTGGACACCATGGAAAACAGAGTCAGGCAGTTGTTCCAAAGGTTACGCATGGAGTTGTCACATGACCCAGCAATTCTGCTCCTACATATATGCCCAAAAGAACTGAAAGTGTGTCCACATAAAAACCTGTCCACAGACCTGTCCCCCAAAAAACTGTCCACAAAAATTAGCAGCATTATTTATAATATCCCAATGTGAAATTAACCTACATGTCCATCAACTGATGAAACATGGGCTGAATCTACACAACCGAGTATTATCCGGCCATAAAAAGGAATGACATCTCATTGAAGGCAGGGTCTCAAGGAAATATTTGCATACCCATGTTGCATGTTCACAACAGCATCACTCATGAGAGCTGAGAGGTGGAGGAACCCTGTGTGCTGAAATTGGGGCTGGCCGAGCCAGCTAGGAGGTGGACAGGCTCCCTGGTGGCTCTCCAGGGACGTCCTTTAGGGACAATTCTGAGGACGTCCCATGAGCAGTGCCCACGTGGTCAAGGGCTTCAGTGTCTGGCAGCAGCTCTCAGCCACCTTTACTGGGAGCAAGGAGAGGACATATCTGGTACCTCAAAAGAACATCTTTGCCTAAAGCTCACCTGGGAGAGAGAGCAAGCAGACTGCAACTTTCTGAAACTGCTTGAACCAAGTGCATGAATTTGGTGCATTCTGAAGTTCCTCTGCCCAGGGAGGACTGCTGGTCTGTGCATGGCAGGATGGACCACTGCTCTGAGTCACCTCTGCTGAGCCGCCAAGGCTGGGCTTCCCTTGGAATTGCTTCCAGAATGAGATATTCAGGGCCAGTCCTTGGCTGTGGTTTCTAGACTTCTCCTGGACAGGGCAGCCCTTTGGTGTAGCTCCTGCTGCGCTGCTGGCCCCTGTCTGGCGCTCTCGGCGGCTGTGGCCACCGTGCCATTGCATGGTCCTAATGGTCTCTGTGTGTATTCAGCTTGCTTCCCGCTGTGGGGCTCCACTCCGGCTGCAGAACTCAGCCCCTGGTTCAATGCTGACGTTTGTGCCCCGGTCCCTTAACTACGCGGGCATCTTCCTGTGCGTGGTGTTTTTTTTTTTTTTTTTTTTTTTTTTTTTGAGACGGAGTCTCGCTCTGTCGCCCAGGCTGGAGTGCAGTGGCGCAATCTCGGCTCACTGCAAGCTCCGCCTCCCGGGTTCACGCCATTCTCCGGCCTCAGCCTCCCGAGTAGCTGGGACTACAGGCGCCCGCCACTGCGCCTGGCTAATTTTTTCTATTTTTAGTAGAGACGGGGTTTCACCATGGTCTCGATCTGCTGACCTTGTGATCCGCCCGCCTCGGCCTTCCAAAGTGCTGGGATTACAGGCGTGAGCCACCGCGCCCGGCCTCCTGTGCGTGGTGTTTTGTGGATATACATCTCTCTTTCAGCAGCTAGCTCAAGTATGAGTTGCATACAAGCCGCACTTATCTAAAGTGTTATCGGTTGATACATTTTGCCTTTTGCAAATGACACCAAAAGCATCACCACAATCGAGATAATGAACAGACCCCCCCCCCAACAAGCCTCCAGAGCCACTCACCTTCCTCCTGCCCTCTCCCTCCATCCTCTCTCTGCAGCCCACTGACCTGGCTTCTGTTTTCACAGGTGGTAATGGTTCGGATCTGTGTCCCCACCCAACTCTCATGTCAAATTGTTATCCCCAGTGCTGGAGGTGGGGCCTGGTGGGAGGTGATTAGACCTTGGGGGTGGCTCCTCACGGTTTAGCACTGTCCCCACTGGGAGCTGTCGTCATGATAGTGAGTTCTCGTGAGATCTACTTGTTTAAAAGTGTGTGGCACCTCCCCACCCCCTCTCTTGCTCCTGCTCCAGCCACGTGACCTGACCTGCCAGGTCCCCCTTTGCCTTCCGCCATGATTGTGCGTTTCCTGAGGCCTCCCCAGAAGCAGAAACCACCATGTTTCCTGTACAGCCTACAATTAAGTCTTTTTTTTTTTTTTTAAATAAATTACACAGTCTCAGGTATTTCTTTATAGCAGTGCAAGAACCGACTAACACGATAGGTCAGTTTGCATCTCCCCATGTTTTGAACACATGGAATCTCTTACAGTGTTTACTCTGTCATGTGATGCCGGCTTCCCTCATTCGGCAAAGTAATTTTGAGATTCTTTCATGTTGTGCGTGCGGATAATTCACTCCTTTTTGTGACGGAATGGAACTCCACTGGTTGGACATAGCACGGATTATCTGTTTCCACATCAATGGACATCGGGTTGTTCCCAGTTTGAGACCATTACAAATAAAGCAGCCGTGGACATCCTTCACAGCGACAAGGCATTTTCATATTTCCCAGCGAAAGGCCTAGGAGAGGAATCGTACAGCAGGTGGGTGTTAACTTTTTCAGAAACTCAGTAACAAGAATACAAAACCTTTTAAGAAACTACAAAACTGTCTTCCAAAGCAGCCGCACCGTTTTGCTTTCCCAGCATCAGTGATGGGAGATCCAGCTCCTCCACGTCCCCAGCAGCCGTTGGTGTAGCCAGCGTTTTTAATGTCGTGCTGGAATAGGCATGCGGTGGCAGCTTGCTGTGCTTTTAGTTTGCGTTTCTCTGATGACGGACATGCTGAGCATGCTTTCATGTGCTTCTTTGCCACTTTTTTTTTTTTTTTTTTTTTTTTTGAGATACAGTCTCGCTCTGTCTCCCAGGCTGGAGTGCAGTGGCATGATCTTGGCTCACTGCAACCTCCACCTCCCAGATTGAAGTGATTCTCCTGCCTCAGCCTCCTGAATAGCTGGGATTATAGGCGCCTGCCACCACGCCTGGCTAATTTTTTTGCATTTTTAGTAGAGACAGGGTTTCACCATGTTGGTCAGGCTCATCTCAAATTCCTGACCTCAGGTGATCCACCTGCCTCAGCCTCCCAAAGTGCTGGGATTGCAGGCGTGAGCCACCGCCCGGCCTCTTTGCCACTTCTGTGTCTTCCTTGAAGTGTCTGTTCCAATCTTTTGCCCATTTTTAGTTGGGTTGTTGGTTTTCCTGCTGTTGAGTTTAAAGAGTTCTCGATATATTCTACATACACGTCCTTATTGGATATACAATTTGCAAATATTTTCTTGGTCTATGGCTTGTCTTTTTATTCTCTTAGCATCTTTAGGAGAACAAAAGTTATTCTACTTAATGAAGTATGATTTATCATTTTTTCTCTTATAGATTTTGCTTTTCCCATTGTATCTAGAAAATCTTTACTTCATCCGAGAGTACAAAGATTTTCTACTGTTTTCTTCACTAATACTTATATATTTACATTTTATACCTAGATCTATATGATTAATTTTCAGTTAATTTTTTTCATGATGTGAAATACCGATCAAAGTTATGGTTTTGCGTGTGGATATACAATTGCTGTAGCACCGTTTGTTGAAAAGACCTTCCTTTCTCTGCTGAACTGCCTTGACACTTTTGTTGAAAATTTATTCATCCAGAATTATTCACAACAACCAAGAGGTGAAACCATCCCAAACGTCCATCGACAGGTGAGCGGAAAAATAAATGTGAAACATGCTTACAATGGGACATTATTCAGCCTTAAAAAGGAAGGAAATTCTCACACATGTTATAGTGTGAATGAATCTAGGGGTTCATCTTCATGAAATGAGTCAGTCACTAAAAGATAAATACTATCCGACTCCACTAACATCAGGTTTTCTTCTTTTCTTTCTTCTTCCCTTTTTTTTTTTTTTTTTTTTTTTTTTGAGATAGAGTCTTGCTGCTGCCCAGGCTGGAGTGCAGTGGCGCGATCTCAGCTCACTACAAGCTCTGCCTCCCGGGTTCACACCATTTTCCCGCCTCAGCCTCCTGAGTAGCTGGGACTACAGGCGCCCGTCACCACGCCCAGCTAATTTTTTGTATTTTTAGTGGAGACGGGGTTTCACCGGTGTTAGCCAAGATGGTCTTGATCTCCTGACCTTGTGATCCGCCTGCCTCAGCCTCCCAAAGTTCTAAGTGGTCAAATTCATAGAAACAGAGAGTAGAATGTCGGTTACCAGCGACCAGAGGAGGGGAAATGGGGAGTTGTTGTTTGCAAGATGAAAACGTTTTGGAGCTTGGTTGTACAACAATATGAATATATTTAACACTACTTAAATATACGCTTAAAAATGAGTAAGGCCTAGTGCAGTGGCTCACACCACTTTGGGAGGCCGAAGCAGAAAGATCACTTGAGCCGGGGAGTTCAAGACCAGCCTGGGCATCATAGTGAGACGTCATCTCTACTAAAAAAAAAAAAAAAAAAAAAAAAAGACCAATTAGCCAAGCACAGTGGTCCCAGCAACTTGGGAGGCTGAGATGGGAGGATCACGTGAGCCCAGGAGATCAAGGCTGCAGTGAGCCATGATTATGCCACCACACTCCAGCCTAGGTAACAGAGTAAGACTGAAAAAAAAAATGATTAAGGTGGTACATTTTATGCTATGCATTTTTAAACCACAATTAACCATGTTTAAACAATTAACCACAGATCTGTGAATCTGTTTCTGTACTCTATGTTGTCCTGCCGACCTACTGTTGATACTGACATCATCAGTGCCACACTGGCTTGAGGACTGTCATTTTATAATATCTCTTGAAATAAATTAGCTTAACTGTTCCAATTGCGTCCTTCTTTTTCTTTGTCTTTTTTTTTTTTTTTTTTTTTTTTTTTTGAGACGGAGTCTCGCTCTGTCACTCAGGCTAGAGTACAATGGTGCGATCTCAGCTCACTGCAACCTCTACCTCCCTGGTTCAAGCAATTCCCCTGCCTCAGCCTCCCAAATAGCTGGGATTACAGGCACACGCCACCATGCCCGGCTAATGTTTTTTGTATTTTTTAGTGCAGACGGGGTTTCACCATGTTGGCCAGACTGGTCTCGAACTCCTGACCTCAGGTGGTCCACCTGCCTCGGCCTCCCAAAGTGCTGGGATTACAGGTGTGAGCCACCGCACCCAGCCATTCTTCTTTTTCAAAGTTGTTTTGGATTTTCTAGATCTGTTGCATTTTCATACGAATTTTAGCAATAATTTATCAATTCCTTAGAGCCACTGGGATTTTGGTTGGGGTTCTATTGAATCTCTAGACCAATAAGGGGATAATTAACATCTTAAAGATATTGAGTCTTAATATGAACAAAATGTATCTTTCCATTTATTTAGCTATTCTTTAATCCCTCAGCCATATTTTGTAAATTTATTTATTTATTTATTTATTTATTTATTTATTTATTTATTTTGAGACGGAGTCTTGCTCCGTCACCCAGGCTGAAGTGCAGTGGCACAATCTCGGCTCACTACAACCTCCGCCTCTGGGGCTCAAGGGTCTCTTGTGCCTCAGCCTCTCGAGTAGCTGGGATTACAGGCATGCACCACCATGCCTGGCGAATTCTTTTGAATTTTAATAGAGACAGGGTTTCACCATGTTGCCCTGGGTGGTCTCAAACTCCTGAGCTCAGGCGATCCCCCTGCCTCCGCCTCCCAAAGTGCTGGGATTACAGGAGTGAGCCACCCCTCCCAGCCTGTAATTTTCAATATGTAAGTTTTGCACATTTTTGTCAGATTTATTTCTAAGTATTTAAGTTTTTGATGTTATTAATAGAATTGCTTTTTATTTAGTGTATGATTGTTTGTTACTGTAGAAATACAACTTTTTTTTTTTTTTTTTTACTTCCCTTAAAGTCTGCAAACTTGCTAAACTCACTAATTACTTCTAGTAGCTACTGCATTCTACAGATTTTGTAGGATTTTCTACGTAGGCAATCATTTGTCTGTGAATGAAGACAGTTTTCCTTATTTTTCAACTGGGCACCTTTTTTTCTTTTTCTTGCCTGATTGTCCTGTCTCTAGCCTGCATTGCAGGGTTTAGCCTGCATTGCAGGGTTTAGTAGAAGTAATTAAAGTGGACATCCTTGCCTTGCTCCTGATCTTAGGATCTTAGGGGAAAGCATTCCTTCTTTCACGATTGGGTACAATGTCAGCTGTATGTTTTTTGCAGATGCCCTTTATCAGATTGAGGGAATTCCCTTCTATTCCTATGTTGCAGAAAGCTAATATCTGGAATGGATTTTGGATTTTGTCAAATGCTTTTTCTGCCTCTATTCTGATGATCATCTGGTTTTTCTATTAATGTGGTAAATTACATTGCAGGATAATTTTCAAATGCTAAACCACTCTTGCATTCCTGAAATAAATGCCACTTTGTCATGATGTATTATCCTTACTCTACACTGATAAATTCAATTTGCTCACATTTTTGTTGAGAATTTTGTGTGTGGGTTTGTGAAGGCTATTGGTTTGCTCTTTTCTTTTCTTACCATGTATTTGTCTGACGATAGTACCAGCATATGCTATGGCTTCATGGAATGAGTTGGAAAGTATTTCCTCCTACACTATTTTCTGGAAGAGTCTCTGTAAAATTGGTGTTATTTCTTTCTCAAATATTTGTATATGTTTGAGACTTCTTATTATTTGAGATTCACCAGTGAAGCCTTTGAGTCTGGAGTTTTCTTTGTAGAAAGGTTTTTTTTTTTTTTTTTAACTTCTTTAATAAATAAAGGAATATTTTTTCTATTTTTTCTGGAGTGAGTTTCGATAATTTGTCATTCAAGAAATATGTCTATTTCATTTTGTTGCACTTAAGTAAAGCTGTTCATAACATTCCCTTATTATTCTTTTAATGTGTGTAGAATCTGTAATGATGCCTCCTTTCTCATTCCTGGTACTGGTAATTTGTGTTTCCTATATTGTTTTTCCTGCTCAGTCTACCCAGAGGTTTATCAATTTTATTGACCTTCTCAAAAATGAGCTTTGGTTTTTACTGATTTTCTCTGTGGTCTTTCTGTTTTCTAGTTCATTTGATTTCTGCTGTGACCTTTATTTATCATTTTCTGCTTCCTTAGAACTTAATTTGCTCTTCTTTTTCTAATGTCTAAAGAAAAATGCTAATATCAGTTATTTGAGACCTTCCCTCTTTTTTAATGTAGATATTTAGTGCTATGAATTTCCCCTTAAATACAGCATTAGCTGCATCCCACAAAACATAATATATGTTTTTATCTTCATTCAGTTCAAAACACTACCTAATTTTCCTTTTGATTTCTTCTTTGACACATGGGATATTTAGTAGTATGTTAGTTTCCAAATATAATGGGAATTTTGCAGATAGCTTTTTACTGTTGATTTCTAATTTAATTCCATTTTGGTCAGAGAACATACTCATTTTAGACTTCTTTTCTGGCCCAGAATGTGGTCTATCTTGATACACATTCAATGTATTCTGCTGGTGTTGGGTGGAGTTTTCTATAAATGTCAGCTGGATCAAGTTGTTTGATAGTGTTGTTCAAATCTTCTACCTGAACTAAGCTTCTCTATTTGTTTTATGGAATGCTGAGAAAAGACTGTTGAAATCTCCAGCTACAGTTGTGAATTTGCCTGCTTCTCCTTGCAGTTCCATCAGATTTTGGTCTTTTGAAGCAAAACTTTAAAAGTATTTTGAAACTCTATAACTAAGTGTACAAACATTTAGGATTTATATGTCCTCCTGATTTATTTATCCCATTATCATTATAAAATGGCCCAGTTATCCCTGGCAATGTGAAGGCAAAACACTTCTGAGTACTCTACTTGGTATCCTGTCAATTCTGTGGTTTTTCACTCTAAATGGTGGGAATAGGAACTATTCCTGGCCCTGTGTTAGCTAGCAATGTTATTTCTGAAATTCTTTCCTTGGCTGGCTTCATCAGATGCATGTACTCATCAGTACTGAGCTGAAGACGCAAGAAGGAGCCTCCGCAGGCCTCTGTTCCTCTTTCACTGTGCAGCTCTCTCCTCCCTGGCACTCTGCCCTGAGAACTCCAGCTTTCCTGTCCTCCCTGGACTCCCAGCGAAGTGTCCTCAGCTCAGGGAGACCACGCGTCTTTGCCTGTGTTACACATCCCTGTGCTGCAGCCTGGAAACTCTCTAGGTGGTATACAGAGGCAATCACAGGGCTCACCTCACTTGCTTTCTCTCTTGGGGATTGCCGAACTTTACTGTCTTTTAAGTCTGATGTCTTGAAAACTGCGGCTTAAGATATTTTCCTGGATTTTATAAACATATGCAAGTGGTTCTGTGAACACCGACTTTATTGTCTCTCTGCACTGCACAGTGTTCCAAAGTGTATACTTGTCACATTTTGTTTATTAATTCTTCTAAAGATGAATAATTAGGCTACCAACTTCTGCTACACAAAGGCTGTGCAAAAACAGCCTTGAATGCATTCCCGGGTGAGTCAATGTGAGCATGTTTACAGGGTATGCTCTCAAGAGACAGCGCTCACAGAGCACATTTACTTTTACTAAGCACGTCCACATTACTTCTCAGAGATCCTCCACCAGTTCCTACTCAGGGATACAAGAGCCTCCCTTCTCATCAATTCCCACCCAAACTTGATATCCAACCCCTTTCTAATTTTTACTATTCTGAGGGATGTAAATTGGTATGTCAGTGTTGTTTTCTTTATCGTATTGTGAGAAAACATTTTAATGGTCCATTTTCTTTTTTTTTTTTTTTTTTGAGACGGAGTCTCACTCTGTCGCCCAGGCTGGAGTGCAGTGGCCGGATCTCAGCTCACTGCAAGCTCCGCCTCCCAGGTTCCAGCCATTCTCCTGCCTCAGCCTCCTGAGTAGCTGGAACTACAGGCACCCGCCACCTCACCCGGCTAGTTTTTTATATTTTTTAGTAGAGGCAGGGTTTCACCGTGTTAGCCAGGATGGTCTCGATCTCCTGACCTCGTGATCCGCCCGTCTCAGCCTCCCAAAGTGCTGGGATTATAGGCTTGAGTCACTGCGCCCGGCCTAATGGTCCATTTTCTTTTTTTTTTGAGACGGAGTCTCGCTGTGTCTCCCAGGCTGGAGTGCAGTGGCGTGATCTCGGCTCACTGCAAGCTCCGCCTCCCGGGTTCACGCCATTCTCCCGCCTCAGCCTCCCAAGTAGCTGAGACTACAGGCGCCCGCCACCACGCCCGGCTAGTTTTTTTTTTTGTATTTTTAGTAGAGACGGGGTTTCACCATGTTAGCCAGGATAGTTTCGATATCCTGACCTCGTGATCCACCCGCCTCGGCCTCCCAAAGTACTGGGATTACAGGCTTGAGCCACCGCGCCCGGCCGAATGGTCCATTTTCAAGGCATGATAAATCTAAGCACTGGCAGCCAGTCTGTGGATGGAACAAACCATACGGCTCATGCACCTGGAAGGTCACGATAAGCGAACAGAATGTAGAGGGGGGGTCGGCCATAAAAGGGAAGAAAGTTTCATTATTGGCAAATCAAAACTTAAGTGGGGAAGGGGACGGGGTATAACCTTATAAGGGGGAAAATGAAACTCAGGTGATGTCGGGGAAGATTGTAACTCCGTAGTACTCGACCAATGAGGACCTGGGAGAGGGTTTGTGTGCTAGGAGATCAATTACCTGCTGTAACTGCCCCAGGTGTGCCTGTCTACCAGACATCTGATCTTGCAAGACTGCCATTAAAAGTCTTGCTGGCCGGGCGTGGTGGCTCACATCTGTAATCCCAACACTTTGGGAGGCCGAGGCTGGCGGATCACAAGGTAAGGAGATCGAGACCATCCTGGTTAACACGGTGAAACTCCATCTCTACTAAAAATACAAAAAATTAGCCAGGTGGGGTGGTGGCACATATTAAGCACTCAAAGATGTTTTGTATCATTATTACTCAAGAATCCCACTGAAAGTTATGCAGAAAACTTGTCTGGGGCTCTTGGTACATTAGAATGTTCCATGACTACTCAGACCCATGTGTGCCATTATGAGTTGAAATCTAGAAATAGAAAGACCAAGGGGAGTGGAACGCCCATGAAAACGTGGAACGGGGCTGGAAGCAATGATGGTTCCACAGGCAGATGACCTCACCCAGGTGATTCACAGGGTCAGGGTCCATGCATATCAAGCTCTGGACGTTGGCATCAGCTATCTAAGGGAATGTGAGCAATTACTTGGAGCATCTAACATTTAAGTCAGAATTTTCTTTACAGTCTACACTTAGAACATTCACTTAACTCATTCACTTAACTCTGCCCCTCCTCTGTAGAGAGTCCATTCAGTATAATCTTTCCAGTCATCTTTTCCAGCTACCTTCATATTATTGATTTCTAATTTAATGTAACCGTGGTCTGAGAGTACAACAGAAATCTATCTGGCCGGACCCCAGGCCTCCAGAATTGCCCCTTCTCTTTTTTTTTTTCTGAGACGAAACCTCGCTCTGTAGCCCAGGCTGGAGTGCAGTGGCATGATCTTGGCTCACTACAACCTTTGCCTCCTGGATTCAAGTGATTCTCCTGCCTCACCCTCCCGATTAGCTGGGATTACAGGCATCTGCCACCACGTCTGGCTAATTTTTGTATTTTTAGTAGAGAGAGGGTTTCATCATGTTGGTCAGGCTGGTCTGGAACTCCTGACCTTGTGATCTGCCCACCTCAGCCTCCCAAAGTGCTGGGATTACAGGTGTGAGGCACCATGCCTGGCCTACATGCCCTGTTATATCCAAATAAGAAACACACCTAACAGAAATCCACAGGTCACAGTACAGAAGTTGCTACTTTAACGACTCAGTCCTTCATGGCTAGTGCCTCTTAGTCTTATTTAAGAAAACCTTTCTCTGCCCTGGGTTCAGGAATATTGTGTTCTGAATTATTTCCTAAAAGCTCTGCAATGTTGCCTTCTGCCTTTAAATTTTGAGTCCACCCAGAATTGGTGTATGAAAGTGGCATTAAGTAGGGGTCTGACTCCATTTTATTTCATAGATCTTGCTGCTTGGCCCAATGTCATGTACTAAAAAGGCCACCTGTTGCCCACCCTGTCACCTCTGCAGGCTCTGTGTTGTCCCTGGACTCTTTATTGTCTTACTGTAGACAATAGTCTTGCTAGTCCTGATATCTTTTTTTTTTTTTTTTTTTTTGAGGCAGAGTCTTGCACTGTCCTCCAGGCTGGAGTGCAGTGGCACGATCTCGGCTCGCTGCAACCTCCGACTCCCAGCTTCAAGCGATTCTCCTGCCTCAGCCTCCAAAGCAGCTGGGATTACAGGCACCTGCCACCATGCCCAGCTAATTTTTTGTATTTTTGGTAGAGACGGGGTTTCACTATGTTGGCCAAGCTAGTCTCAAACTCCTGACCTAGTGATCTGCCCACCTTGGCCTCCCAAAGTGCTGGGATTACAGGTGTGAGCCACTGCACCTGGCCTATTTTTTTTTTTTTTTTTTTTTTGAGACAGAGTCTCGCTCTGTTGCCCAGGCTGGAGTGCAATGGCGTGATCTCAGCTCACTGTGACCTCCACCTCCTGGGTTCTAGCGATTCTCCTGCCTCAGCCTCCTGAGTAACAGATTACAGGTGCCCGCCACCACACCCAGCTAATTTTGCATTTTTAGTAGAGGTGGGCCATGTTGGTCAGGCTGCTCTCAAACTCCTGAACTTAGTGATTCCCCTGCCTTGGCCTCCCAAAGTGCTGGGATGACAGGTGTGAGCCACTGCGCCCAGCCTTGATATCTATTTGAGCAAGCTTTCGCATTTTGTGCTTCTTTTACAAGAATGTCTTGACTCGTCCTAGCTATTGAGAATTAACTTATCAAGCTTTACAAAAAAACAATACAACAAAACAGGGCTTGCTGGGACTTTGGGATTATACTGACTAAATTAATTTGAGAGAAGCTGACATCTTTACATATTGACTATTTCAATCCATGAACATTGTAGATCTCCACCCTCCATCCCCACAAGACCACCTGGACTGAAGCTTAAGTTTGCTGTAATCGCCTCTGTGGGTTCCCCTTTCCTTTGTCATCTTTTCAAAAACTCCAAGAAGAATTTAAAAACATACGGTATCCATCATTTTGGGCTCTTTTCAGTGGGACGGTCTCAATAAATCCACCTTGCTGGATTTCTGGGATGAGGTGTCCCCTTTCAAGAGAGGATACAGGCCTCAGAGGTATAGCAGGACCTGCCAGTTCTGCCCACTCACACCTTGCAAGGAGCCAGCTGTGCTGTGTCACATCAAGGGGCTCTGGAGACTCCTGGGAGGGGCTGCCCAAGCGCTGTAAACCCACCCCTTTGGGCTGTGCATCTGCTCCAGTATCTGTACCACACAGACACACACCCCTTGGCTTCTAATGACCTCTGACCAAAGCTCTTCTGAGAGAGGCCTTGGGACTCTGCCAGCACTGGTTGATGTGCCCAGGCCCTGTGGTCCCCACTGAGAGGGCTAAGGCTCTGTGGGCAGAGGAGGGCTCAGTCCTACTCTCCCTCTCCCCCTGGAGCCTGTGCCTGGACACACTCTCTCCAAGCTCACTCTCTCCACTGGGACCAGCTGCATCCCCCGGCTCCATTTCCTCTCCACAGTCAAGGAGAGCATGTCCAAAGTCCCACAGCGTCATGAGGAGCAGCTTAACGATGAGGTGTCTGTGCTGAAGACCGTCCTGCCTCTGTGGGTCCTTACCTGGCCCTTGGCCCTTCCCTCTGGACTCTGGAGTTAAGGACCGAGTCTCAGCTCCCGAAACTTTCTCTTCCCATGCCCCAGCCCCGGATGCGGGATCCAGCTGGGGCCCTGCTGTCCTTCCCTGTGGAACCCTGGTCCTGAGCCTTGGGAGTCCCTGGCCCACCAGAAAGGACCCTGGCCTGTCGCCACATGCCCGGCCTGGTGGGCCACATGCACATGCGTTCTGTCAGGGCTCCCCCAGCCCTGCTGACGCTTGGACGCAGCCATCCGGGTGAACCCATCTCCACGGCCAGGCTCACCAGAGTGAAGGGGCTTGGTCTGGGTTGGGGGCCAAAAGGTAGTAGAAAGCCCAGAGGTCGTTGCCAGTCACCGAGTGTGGAGGGATGGAGCAGCCTGGGTGGGTCCTCGCCTGGCCTTCTGGCCCAGGCTCTCTGCACTCAGCGACTTGTGTGAAACTTTATCCTGCAAGGGGTGATTGTGGCGTCTGTGGGAAGCGAGCAGCTCTCTGGTCACAACTTTCCCTCGGTTCTGGGGGACCCTGGGGGCTCCTCATTTCCTCCTGAATCTGCTCCCTAGCGGAGTGGAGGCCATCGAGGTCCTGAGGACCCGTCCAGCCTCTTCTGGGGCCCAGTGC